GAGACTTGTGTATTTACAAAATCCTACTTCAGAAGTTGTTTGTGTGATAAAAGTGTCACCAGTGAAGTGAAAACTTTTAATTACTTCCTTGGCTTTTTTTTGAAAGATAGGAAGAAATCAGCCTGATTTCCAGCTGTGTTGGCTTAGAATCTAGGAATAACTGTAACTGTAAAAGGAATAGAGTTTTAGCAAAGGTGAGGATGCTCTTCCCTCAAAACTCATTCAATGGGACTTATTAAATCATCTTTGTCCCCGACTTTGTTATCGTAACTTCTGTGGGATTCAATAGCAAAATTTAGAAGCAATGCTGAAAGAGCCTTCACAAACTGTTGTAGATATTGTTCCCAGGTAGTATGGGAAATATTTTATACTTTAGGGAGTAAAAAGTAGGCATCTCAATGGAAAAAAAATGTCCTTTTTAACTTGATAGTGCCACTAGAAGTCATACTTCCTAATCTCCATATTTTCCAATGTCGTATTTCTTAATTTTGGCACTGAATGCCTCTCTTGATATTTCAGCACTTTTACTGGCCAGTAGTTGCATTTCTAGAGAATAACTCATTTTGCAGATCTAGCTTCAGAACTTCTGCAGAAGTAATTTTTGAAGCTCCTCTGTTTCTAGGGAATCTCTGGCTTTCTGGCTGCAATTAAGTCACTGACATCAGTAAAGAGTTGAAGCTCTTTACTGGTTGGTTCTCAGGCAGAGAGAACCAACAATCTGTTCCTGTGGTCAAAGCCCATGCAGTTGGCCTGGAGAGTCCTGTCTAGACACTTTCTGATGCAGTGTGCTCAGGCTGTGACACAGGATGCTCCTGAGCTGTGCCATCTGGACAGTATCTGCATTTTTTCTGTGAAGCTCTTTACTGACTGACTACAAAACAGGATGTTTCTCAAACATGAAAGGAAGAAGGCCAAAGATTCAAGTTTGGATTTTGCAATAGAAAGGGAGAGAGAAAAATCATAGTTCCAGGATGTGCTTGCTAAGAAAGAGCTAGTTAATGGTACTGGTGCAAGGCTGCTTTCTTTGTGCTGTGGAGTAACCTAGAGAGAAGTGCAGTTTCTAGAAAAATTTATCAAACAAGCCTTAGCACCACCTCTTGACTCTGTGCCTTTCCCATCTGCACTTCCTACAGCATCCCCCAGCACCGCAGTGTGCACCCAACAGGACAGCATGGCCAGGCCAGAGGTGGCAATTTGCCATGTACTGGCAATCACACCAGCAAACATATGCAGAATTGTCAAGGTTTGTCCTTGCTGACCTAACCCGTTCACCCATGAGTGCAGGGCACGCCAGTGAGGGTGAAGTTTCATTTTCAAGTGTTCCTGCAGGAAATCGGAGTTACTAAAAATACTGTGAAACTCTAACTGGAATTTCATAGAATCACAGAATGGCTTGGGTTGGAAGGGACCTTATAGATCATCTTTAGTTCCAACCTCCCTTCCATGGGCAGGGACACAGTTTGGGACAGATGCTTGTCAAATCCAGAAAACTAAGAGCTGAAAATTCAGTATCATCAATAGTTTGTTTTTGGTTTTTTTCCCCTGGTCCTTTGTAAAAGTCATTCTGTATCATATCCCAAATAAAAACTGCGTTGCATACAGACACTGAATTTGAAGGCAAATGTCTGCAGCACTAGTCTCTAAAATATTTAAGATTGAAAGGAACTGGGAAGTCAGGTCTTTTCTGCTTGTTTTTAATAGTAAAATAGAATCAAGGATTTTTTCTTTTATAATTAGAAATTCACATTTTTTTTGTCATCTTCATGTAACTAGGGTAGTCATGGAACAGTGAGGTTAGAGTAATCTGTAAGTGCAAGTTGGCATCAGTTGTTTTTCCAGACAAGTTAAATATATGAGGTTTTTATTTGCTTGTTTTCTTCATACCTGATTACAAATCTGGATAAAAGTACTCTTAGTTAAATCAGTAAACATCCTTGAGGCTACCAAGAAACAAACTAGCTAAGCCTAGGAAGAGCAAAATTGACATTCCTGGTAATTATGACATAAAAATCAGAATAATTTTGATTCAAACCCCAACTCTTCTAATTAATTTCTAATACAAAATAGACAAACTCAATAAAACCCAAAACTAGATATACACATGCTTTAGTTTCTTTTAAATATTCACATGATAAACCTTGCAGATAGTTCAATAAGAAAAGTGTTCCTATAAGTGAACTCTTTTGAGTAGTTGCCCATGAGAAGCCCTGTGACTGGAATAAACTAAAATTAAAATGGAAGAAATCTGGAAGAGGAATCATTTTGCATTTGCCAGAAGATACACTGGAAAATCATGACTCTTCCTAATTGTGGCAAAGTGTGTGATCCCAAGATGAGAAAACAGACATACAAGATAAACACTGTATGGCCAGACATTCACTGCCTCTTCCTCTTCTGCCCTACCATCCGTCCCACCTGTAACATCAGTTATTGAAGTCACACGATTGTTCCAAAAAGGAGCTGGTGGCATGGTTCCAGGTTTACACTGCCAAAACATGATCCAGTCCAAATGAGAGATGAAATGGTAGAATTAGTTTTCTTTCCCTCTCTACTCAAAAAAAAATTGGTTTTGGACAAACAAACCAGCGAAATTAAATTAAACACGTGGTTGATAAATGAAGTGCAGAAGAGTGTATGGAATAAAACCCTGGCTACCATAGGTACTTAGAGTAGTGTTGGCTTCCATGCACTGTTATTACACATCCTTTGCTGAAAACTGTATACCTTTCACAATTTTGAACCTCCTGTGTGTTTCCTCATATTTTCAATCAAATTATTACATACTAGAAATATGCATAAGGGAAATTATTCTACACATTTTATGGTGTGCTGTTGCTTGTAGCAGTAATTGAAGTACCTTTTCCACTTATGAAAGTACTAATTTTATTTGGTTTTATTGCTTTTCTAGATGCAATTATTTATTTAGTGTGTTTTGGCTTTATTAAATTATGTTTACTATAGGAACATCATAAAAATGTATGAAAGCAACACATCAGCCACTACTGCCCAATGACTTGTTTTGGGGAACCTAGTGTTATTTTTCATATCCAAACATAATAGAATAAAGTAAGAATAAAAAGATAATCTACACTGGAAAACAATGCAATTTTGAGATAATATAATAAAACACCTGGACAATATGATTTCATAAATCTTACTTCTAAAATTTACATGAGCTGGGTGTTGGGGTGGCTATTTTAGGACAAGCAGCATTTTCTAAATGGAAATGTAAGAAATATGATTAAACAGCAAAGGGGAAAGCATATACAGATTTGGCTTGCCCTGAGCAACTGATTCCTACAGAACAATGAAAACATTTCTACCTCAACAGATGCTCTTTGTCAGTCTTAGAAATGTAGAGTTTTACTCTGGCAGTGACCAAAAGTTTGTTTGTAAAGTTTTATCACATTCATTTTTAGGTGGCTTTTCACATGCAGTGTATCATTATGTATTGAGGGTCTGATGTGACACCCAGCGAAGCTGGCAGCAAAACTCCCAATACCTTCAAACAGAAACTAGATATGCTATCATACACTGAGAATAAAATCAACTCCTGCATTTAGCCTCTGTACTACCTACTGAATAGATGAGCATATATAGTTTTGAAATCTCAAAAGGAATCTTTAATATATAAAAAAGCAAAAAACAACTTAAGTGCCTGGAAACACAGGCTAATACTTTCAGGATAGAAAGAAGAGGGAATATAAAAATTAATTAAGCATCACAGCAGCTGACCAAGAGTTTTTTTCTAACTCTTTAAGCCAAGGCCAGGGTAGGGCAGATGTCTTTCTAAACACTGCAGTTCAGTTCAGCCCTAATACACTAACAACGAAAAGATATGTGTGATTTTATTTCTGTTACAGTCAAGATCTATCTGCAATCCACAGGAATTCCTTTTATGTCGTTACATCAGAGAATTCAATGAAAGCAGGAAATTTTCTGTGTTGTCAACAGTGAAGCATTTCATCGTGAATGAGGACCAGAAGCTGAGATCAAATAGCACTACCTATGCAAGTGGGGGAGGGAGGGAAGACCATGAGAATAATGAAGTGCAGAGATGCCAGTCCTGCAGAAGGTCAGCCCTGCAAACCAGATAAAGTATTTGAGGATCTGACCTGCAGAGAAGGAATAAGGTCAAATTAATGCTGGAAAAGCATAAACTTTTCCAAGCTCTGGGAAACAACCTGAAACGCTGAGTGTGAGCAGCTGTCAAGCAGAGGAGCACAAGAAAAGATTTTCCTCCTCTAAGCCACCTGAGTCTGGATGAAGTCCGCAATAGCAATAGGCAGCTTCTGCCATGCATGTGAAATTTGTTTGGTACATTTTTATAGACATCTCTCTTAGCTAAATTTTATAGTTCCAAGTCTAAAATTCAACCACTGTAACACAGCAGACAGCTTCGGTGGTATGGCCTTTATGCTAAACTCTGAACTCATCTATAGCTTGGCAAAAGGGGTGAAATTCCATTGGAATGGCAGTAATTCTGTCAATTTTTTTTCTGCCTTCTGTGTATTTTTAACGTCTTTTGTTCTCTTAAGAAACATACTGAGAGGCACTGTGAGTGACTGTGATTAGAGATGTAACTGGTTCAAGGTTTACAGCTGGGAAGTAAATCTGGCATATATCTTTCAAACTGTGAAATCTGCCATAAATAAAATCAGGAAATTTAGTATTAAGGAGGCTGAACATTTTGCTAACATACATCTTTCAAATATGCAATATTTGAATTGTCAAAATGTTCAGTGTTTTTGAAACAAGGAGAAATTAGAAACGAACCTGAAAAGCCTACTTATTCTTGTTTCTTCTTTTTAATGTTATTTGCTTTTATTTCATCTTCTATGAACTAACTGCAATGCAGAGTAAACTGATTAACAGCATAGATAGAATTTAACAGCATAGTAGAATTAGCATGGGTGCAAGAAGAAATATAGCCCATTGTAGAGAATATCTACATTCAGTGGTAATGACATTATAATTAATTTGTTGGTTCTGTTTTCTAGCCAAAAATTGCAGAGGAGAATTTAACATATGCTGAACTTGAACTTATGAAGCCGATTCAGGAAGCCAAAGGCATTCCCAGTACGACAGTCTACGCACAGATACTCTTTGAGGAGAACAAGCTGTAATAGTTCATGCCTGTATAAATGTCTTATGTCTGTGTTCTATTTAATTCTTGCTGTACTGTTTATTTATAAAAATCATACAGATGTCCTTATTTTTTTATTTCCATTCATGCACTTCTATTTTTCTGTGAGACTTCTAAACACCATGTAGTTGAAAGTAATCATAGAAAAAGCAGCTGGTCTACAAGTGATACCCTTTGTAGAGTTCTATATCCCTGTTGTAAATGAACTAAGTTCCACTTGGGGCATTTTTCACACTAAACATTATTCCTTCTTTAATGTTAATGGGAAGAGTCCAGCTGCAAACATCAACATCTTAACAAGCCTCAGAAGGACTAGTGGCAGGATCCATGCCCATCAGCCTGCTGCTGAAGGCAAAGACCACTGGCTAGGAAAATGGCCACTTTAATGCATTTTATCCCATCAGAAAGTATTAACTCAGTAAAGCTGAGACTTTTTTCTACAGCAAAGGAAAAGCTTAAATTACTTTTTCAGCTTTCCCCCCCCCTCCAGAAATAGTTAAAAAGGTTTGTCTTCTATGTTTTCAAATTCCATTCCTAAATGACATTGTCTTTAAAAAACTTATGTTACTTTTGGTAAGGTGCTTGAAATAAAATATTCAAAAATAATCCAAAGGAATTACTTAAACTGCAGTGATTTAAGGAAGAATATTTATAGCTTGGGAACATTTTCCAGGAGTTGATCTTTTTTAATTCTGATTGGGAATAGGAAAAACATGATAGTGAGTAAAAGACTGGCAGAACCAGGACATTGCTTTTGGTCTTGGTTTAGTTTGGTGCTACCAAACCTGCAAAAGGTTCCTCCTGTGGCCTGCATTACTGAGCTGCTGATTTCGAGGAAAAATCACACAGTTTTTCCTTTAGTATGGAGCAGATTCTATAACACCCTGCTGACTTTGGAGCTATTTCTTTGGAAAGACCAGAGCTCATGAGATAGGGAAATGAGCCCAATGTGAGGACACAAAGTTACCTTTCTCTTTCTTTACCTCTTGATAACTGAGGAGGCATTCTTCCTTTTCCTTTCATACACATTCATGGAAAAATGAGCTTCTTGGGCATTTCAGTCACGAAGCATAGTTGGTCTGATGTTTTCAAGTTCATGTATCTCCAGTGTCCAAATTTCACCAAAGCTCAGGGAAAGTCTGATACCCAACACCTTTCAGCCCTTGGGAAGCTTTAGCCCTCAAGTAACTGTGGAGTTCATGGAGAGGTTAAAGCATGGATTCTTTAGCTCACCATCAGGTCACGGAGATCTGATACTTGGTATGTACCAGGTCTTCTCCAGGTCTGGGGTGGAGCCCTGTGACAGGCCACTCATTCAGCAGTATTTTATGTGGAATTTGGAGTAGCACTTTCAGGCCTTGGGTTTTGGAATCCTAACTAAGGCTGTCCAGGCTGCTTCCTCCCTTATAGGTCATGCATTTTTAGTGATAGCACAACTTCGCACCAGGGCTCAGAACACAGCTGGGAATCATCACAGGAACACTCATTCCCTTGTCCCTGTTACTGCATGGGAGTGCAGGAGAGGAGGGCAGGGGCAACAATGCAAGGATGGGGACATGCAACCAAGGGAGAAAGCACATCACTGCCTTTTGTAGGGTTTCACCAAAATAAGTGAGTTTATGTAAACTGCTTTTTAACTGTTACGAACAGAGGAAGAGATTAGGCAGCACACGTAATCTGTTACTGCCTAGCCAGGATCTGTAAACATAAAATGCAGTCCCCTGCTTCTGCATTAGATAAAAATCTCTTCTATGAAAAAGAATTAAGAAAAGCTTTTAGGCTGATCATTATGTACAGTACTAACTCCAGTTCTAGTCCTTCATCGAAACAGTTCTTTCCAAACTAAGGCCAGCTTTTATCAATAGGTTTGCTAATACTTATTTGCATTTTTAATGTTTCCATTTGTGAGCTGTCAAGAAAATTATTGTTTCACCTTTTCATTATCCCAGGAGTTAATCATCCACCAAAAGGGCATGGCATCTTTCCTTGTTCTCTGATTGGGTGCTGGACTTTCAGTGACAACAGCAATCAACTCATTGACCAAAACCAAACTGGTGCTAAAGAGTGATCCAACAATCAGGGATCAGTTTTGGAACAGCCAGAGTTTGACTAACTATTCAGAGAGGACATCTCTTATGCATACAGCTGTTCAAAAGGCCTTTAAAAGGTATAGAATTTATTAGTTGTTCCTTTGGAATTAAAAATAAAATGCTAACACATAAGTGATTTAACCATTTAGTTGTGAAAACTTTCAAGTTTGGCTATAAACATTCCTTTTACATACAACTGGCCATTGTGCCCATTGTTCAGAAGAATTCTCTACTGTATATTGATGCCCAGTATGTTAATGAATACCATTCGTTATGTATTAATATCCTATATATTCTTGTTTATGTTTGATATCTAATTCCCAAAAGTAATAGTTAATTGAGCTGAATAAATTACCCTTTTTTGTAAGATATGTTCTTTTAGTCTGTGTAGGATTTGTTGTTTCCTAGAGAATGATTCAAGGATATGTGTTTATCTCTTACTCAGCATTTAGAAAATCCCAGTATTTGGAATTAAATTCTTCATTCTTCAGAAAACTCCAGGTTTTTCAAATGTTTTCCATTTGTAAACAACTTGATGACAGCAAGATCCTGAAAGGCAAAAGACCAGCTGAGTGAAACAAGGCCAGAAATATTACTTGGGAGAACATTTATCTTCCTGAGCAGACATTTCCTATGCCTTTCTTATTCAATGTTCACCTAGATTTAATAATGTCAGATCATATCATTGGAGAAAGAAAAAATCATCATTTACCTTGCAATTAATTGCCCATCTTTAAGTATCAAAGCAGTTTACTTGAAAGACTACAGAGAAGAAAATTTCACTGAGTATAATATGCTTTAGTGTGAGAATTGTAGAATGAATGGATTTAGCTCCTTCTAAAAGGAACTGCAAGGGCAAATTAATCCCTGGCCTAACTTCCTCTGGCTTCAGGAGAACAGCAGTGGAGCTGAATGCAGTCCACTGTCCTTTTATGACAGGAGCTCCCATGAAGACTCTTAATACCTTATTAAGCAGCAGCTGGAGTCTGCTGAGTCATACTATTTTGGTTACTCCTTCTGTTGTCATTGGTAAAACATGGTCTAGTGCTGTAATTTTAACAAATACAGCTCTATTAGCTTCACATCAATTTAGTATTAGATTGTTAAATGCTAATGTACTGCACCCTATAGCTTTAAATAGAATTAGGTATGTTTACAACTTTGGTTAAATGCACCTTGTTCCTCCACATTAAATTTTATTACTAGAATCCTCCATCAGCAAATAGGAGTAAATCATATTAGTGTCACAGGCTGTGTGGGGGTTGATTCTGCAGCCCAAGGAAAAGGTATTTTATTACCCTTTATTACAACTTTCTAATTGGTAGGTGTGGTCAGCATGCCATTATCTCTGTAATTACAAGCAAATTATTTGTTTTAGTATAACTGTAACATAATTGGGGGTTCTCTTCATTAAGAAGTTCAGTAAACTTGTGTCCTTAGCCAGGGTTTGGTCAGGTTCTGCTGGCATAGCAGGACTCAATCCAGATAAGGTTGCATTTGATGTTTAATTTGTAGGCTAAATTCTGCTTTTTGGGGGCTTCTCCAAAACACTTCTGGTGAGTGACATCAAGGTGCAAAGATCCTTTTGGGCTTCAGTCTAACCTGGCAGGGTAAAACAGAAGATTCCTAAATTCTGCTGCATAACAATTTCTCTTCTGGGTTTTCTGCACTAATCTGCAATATACTCATTCCATGTGCTTTCTTCCATGAGCTGGTTTGATTCCACTTTACTACCTCGGCTGGGAGGCAAGGTAGATTGAAAGACTGGATGTCAATAGAAGATACTTGAGCTTGTGTTATTCCTCTCAGAACAAAAAGAGAAAGTGAAGATAGGACAGATTTTGAGATGTCAGCTAACCTATTACTTGATCTTGGACCAACTCAGCCCAGCTTACCTTGGTAGAAGCTGCTCTAACCTCTTCTTAGAAATTAACAGTGATAAGATTTCATATTCTCATCACCATCCATTTCCACAGCCCTAATCATTCAAAATGTTTCCTAGTACGTAGACTTTATCTTTTTGTCTTTTACCCAGTAGACATACAGAACATCTCCCTTTTGTCTTAACAGCCTTATCCATAGTTTAAGAGTATTGAAGGGAAGGTTGAAAAAGGAATTAACTACCTCAGTTCTGTAAAGAACAAATTATTCCCAGCATTCTTCTCTGGAAAAGACTAACAAGTTATTCCAGAGAAAACAGCCCTGAAAATTTAGGGAATCATTAGGTTGGGTTCTGAGCTGGCTTCCCAGATACCATTCTGAGCACAGCCCAGGCTGAAACACCTGCACAAAAACCACCATTGTTCCAACATGTCAATCTCAAACAACTCCTTTCCCTGGCTGCCCCAGCTCTTACAGCAAACTTTGTAGCAGTTTCATATTCCAGCATTTCCTCTCAGAAGCTACGTGGTGAAGCAACTTACACTGACTGCATAGCACTAGGTAGGGCAGGAATCCTGCTTGTCTTGGCACCATATTTTGTCTCTCTTGTTCCTTACCAGAGTTGCTGGGCTGTTTGCAAACCCCACAAGAGGCTTTTCAGTCTTCAACCACTCTGGTCAGAAATGTTTTGCCAACCCTTTTTGAGGCCCCAGCTGAGACCCGCTCAGGTTTTCATTTTAGTACATAACAGAGCTAGTCACTGCAATTGCATTTCTTCTTGTTGTGAGGATCCGAGACTCTCCTGTATCTCACACCAAGGAAGCAGGAGGTCACATGCACAGTATCCATGCAATCTCACTTGGGTTGTGGTCCTGGCTAGGGAAAAACATTGGGGAACATGAGGGAAAAACATTCTCACCTCCCTACACGCCTGTTCCCTGTGCCCCTCTCCAATGTAAGCTGTTGAGTCGAATACAAACTTTCCCTCATGGATTTCATTTGAGTTAAGCCATGTTAAAATCCTACCTATTTTTCTGCAGCAATATTTTACCATAAGGAAGTGAATGAGAACACAACAGTGCATTAGGGCTCTGTACATAGAGCAGCACAAGACAAGACCACCTTCGGGGACTTTTGCCTTCCTGTTCCAGGCTGGCATTGTCTTGGGCACAGTTGACAGCAGCTTCAGTACACAGCTACCCACAACCCCACGTCATCCTCAGAAAAGGACTACAGGAACTTCTCTGACTGCTAAGAGTGTCTCTCCTGACACTGGGGAGGGTGGGGGAGAACAGCACAGAACAAAGACTTCACATAAAATATACAGAGCAAAAAGCACACGGGGATGGGCAACAGCTATCACTTTCAAACACAGTAACTGGACGCATGTCCTCCCTTTACCATGAAAGCAAACAAGAAGTCACTGGATATTCCTCAGTGGTGCTGCAACATTTCCTCCACCTCTGATTCTGACTGCTGTGCATAGGAATTAGAAGGGAAACTGTTCAGCACTGTTTATGATTTTTCAGGCATCCAATTAAGCAGCTTTACACATCTCTTTCCCCTGAACTAGTCCCATGGGAAACACAACAAGAATCCTGGTCTAGGTATCCAGATCAGAGGAAGATCAACAAT